TTTTGCAGTCTTGTAACCACTTTACACCAGAGGCCTTTTTAATGCAAGAGAGATCTGGAGCTCATAAAACTGGTTTCTGATCCGTGCAAGAGCCAGGAGCTTGAGAAGGCTGTGTGGCAGAGATTTTGCCAAAGGGCTCTTTTCTCTGGGGAGCTGAGAGACAAAAAGGGGGCAGAGACAGGCGTTAGGAGCCGCAAACTGGGCTGCAGACAGATTACACACAGCAGCCCTGCAGGTCTGCAGAGACAGATAATGGGAGGTAACTCTACGGAGTTCATGAAGCCCATTTAAACTCCTCACCGGAAAGTAATGAATTATTTCTAATTTGTAGACACCTGTGTATAATGGAAATCATCTATTGGGAGAGGATACAGAAGAAAGTACCTGCCCGCAGTGGCGTAGCGTGGGGGGTGCAGGGGGGGCCAGCTGCACCGGGCGCAACATCTGGGGGTTAGGCAAATCCACGGGTTAGGGGGCGCAAATCCACGGGTTAGGGGGCGCAAATTACTTGCCTTGCCCCGGGTGCTGACAACCCACGCTACACCACTGCCTGCCGGGTTAACAAAGAAGATGGCACTGAAAGAGGCCTATCCATGCTGCACTTTTCAAACAACAGCTAGGAGCAACATCCACCAGGAGTATATTCTGTGTATTGTTCTGATTCAGCAAGAAGACCATTCTAATCTTCTTGTGACCTTATATCCCCATTATGTCTTCCCGCCCCACCTTCCCTGCCTCCTAAGATTGGTAGGTCTCTTGAGACGCAAACCCTAAGAATCAGCAGCTGGGGCCTGGGAGCTTGATGCTGAGCCCATAAGACTGGCACCTAAATTGACACCTAGGAAGCACCACATAGTGCTAGACTAGTGAGTTGTAGCGGCTAGCTGCACCTTTTGCCAACATAGGATTTAGGGCAATGTTGGCGGTTCCCAAAGTTGAGAAGATCCATAATTGAGAGGCACCAATTTTTGGCTTCACGCTGGGTGCCATATTACAGAAAATTACCCAAGGTCACCCTTCCTGTTGCCTCAGATTAGACATGGCATGGGGCAGAGTGAATCTCGAGCCAAACAGAAAATAGCCTCTCTCCCTTGATTCTGGCCCCTCACCCTGAAGTTTATCTGAGAATGAGGATACTTAAGGTCAGACACTGAGGACTGGCAACCACAATAACCTCAAAATTGTTAGGTCATCAAACATGTACTTCTGGGCTTCATGGTGCAAGTTTCAGGGGGTCTATAATACTTTGAAACAAGGATTATGCCTCTTGTGTTTTTCTCCAGCTAGGACTTTGGTCTGGGTTAAATAATAATAATAATAATAATAATAATAATAATAATAATAATAATAATTTATTATTTGTACCCCGCCCATCTGGCTGGTTTCCCCAGCCACTCTGGGCAGCTTCCATAGAAACCAAAAAACACTAAAATATCATACATTAAAAATGGGCATTCTCCTCGAAACCCTGCTGCCTGGAGACATCTCACCCACAGACTGCCCCCCATTCCTCTCCCTACTCCTTTAAACCCAATTTAGTCACTGCACAGCAGTGGCAAGAATACAGCATGGAGGCCTCCTTCTACTTTGCCACCCCATGCATAGCGGAACATCAGGCCATAAAGTCATAAAGAGCCCTTGGGAAATCTCTTCTTTCACATGGACATTGGCACTACACTGGCCTTGGGAAATGGTTTCTCCAGGGACTTAACCAGGGGAGAGGAGAGGAGGAAGAGACGTCCCTCCCTTGCCTTCCCCAATAGCTTGCAGCTACCACCAGTGGGTGGTGCTGTGGTCTAAAGCACTGAGCTTCTTGGGCTTGCTGATCAGAAGGTTGGCGGTTCGAAACCCCACGACAGGGTGAGCTCCTGTTGCTCAGTCCCTGATCCTGCCAACCTAGCAGTTCAAAAGCACATCAAAGTGCAAGTAGATAAACAGTTACCGCTCCAGCGGGAAGGTAAACGGCGTTTCCATGCACTGCTCTGGTTTCGCCAGAAGCGGCTTAATCATGCTGGCCACATGACCTAGAAAAACTGTCTGTGGACAAACATTGGCTCCCTCGGCCAGTAAAGCGAGAAGAGCGCCGCAACCCCAGAGTCGTTCACGATTGGACTTAACTGTCAGGGATCCTTTACCCTTTTTATTTTTTATTTTTTACTACCAGCACCAGGCCACCAGGACAGGACAGTATGCAGGATTGGAAAGGAAAGGGAGGGACTTGGGAAACTGGTAGTGGGCCAGGTGTTTGTTTGCTTCTTTCTTGCATAGCCAAGGGGCACAAATACAAATGGGCTTCAAAATAACCTGAACTAATTCCTTAATTTAGCTTAGCTAATTTCAGAGGCAACCCAGCATGAGCCAGGGGGGATTTACCCATCACTACCTCAAAATGCTCAAACGTGCCCATGTTGTGGCTTGATCGTGGCCCACACCAGAAGACATTATTTTGTCCACACAAAAGGAATTTGGCTTTCAGTTCGCAAAATATTTATGCACAGATGTGATCTGAATAAAAAACAAAACGGCAAATAAATTAATTCAGTGTGAAAAAAATGGAATTAGCAAACAACACCTGAATTACATTAACAGTCTAAGCAACCCAAATGCTATCAAGGTGTCTTTGTTACATTACAGAATCCATTAACTGAAGAAAGCAGACAAATATCAATATCTAAAAATGCACCAAAGCACCCACCAAAGATTCCAGATAAGCATGCTGCAAAAACATGGGAAGTTGTGATAGCTTGGGGTACTGAATTAATCATTTAATAAAATCTATAAACAGTGCACAGCAACTAAATAGACCTACATCAGTTCAGAAAATAAGCATCAGAGAACAATTGTACAATGGCATGCATCGTTGTTGACACCAGGCACTTTATATTCTGTCACCTTTCAAGTATCTCTGATTTCAAAAGACACTTGAACTGAGGCATAAATGAGACTCCCACCAGAAGGGGAAAATTGCTTCTGCTCCGAAGGAAGGGAGTCAACTGAAAGCCACCTCAGGCTTCTTGCAGAGCTCTGCATTTTGCCTGCAAACCTTATACCCACTTACTTAGGAGTAGAGATGGGAGGGTCTTTGATTTTGGTTCTCTTGGTTTCTCATTCTTTCAATTTTAAATTCAGTTCTCCACCTTTCAGCAGCAACTTAGTGCAAATTTTTCACAATCCAGTTTTTAAAATGCAGTTTTGACTAATGGGCATATTTTTGAAAGCAAGCTCTAATATAATGGAATTTATACTCCCATTAATATGTTCATTTTTATGCACACCTTCCACAAATTTATCCATTCCTGTAGACATTGTTGGACTGGAGAACTGCACCGCAAAATATGGATAAGTGCAACTTTTGAAGTTCTCAAATTATTTCAGAAAGTGTTGATTTGGTAGATTTGGATTCAAATATGAACTGAATCAAATCTCTCCCCATCCCTACTTAGGAGTAAGCCTCATTGACTCTAGTGGGACTTACCGCTGAGTAAACATGCAAAGAACTCGCTTGTTAGACTCTTCAGGATGTATTGCACCTTGGATAGTCAATTCCAGTCTCAGGATTTGGGGGGTGGGGGTTGAAGGGGGTGGATGTCGTGACCATAAAGATATTAAGCTTATAGCATCATGTCAGGTATTAGCTAAGAAGTGCTTGGATTGCCTAAGTGTCTGGGGTTAGCTCCACTTCCCAGTTCCACCCGCTACACTCGTGACACTTGTCTTCTCTGCTCCTTGGTGGGAAATACAGAGTCCGTTCAGCTGCAATAGCTAATATCTTTGGTCAGTTAGTGAAACGACTCAGGAGAGTATGTAAGCACCTTCAGCTTCCTGTGTTATAAGGCTTTTTGCTTCTCCACGTGGTGTTTTTCTATTTGGGAGTTTTCCTTCTCCTTTTTTAACTTCATAGCCCTCCCTTCAATTTCAGCACCTTTCTAAAATGGTAGACTTGCAATCCAGTGACTTCCTATATCTTACAGTTGAGCAGCAGCAGCTGATTTCTCCCCCCCCCAACTCTGGTGTGATTAAAAGCTGTAAGCATTAGCACAGCTGCTACAGTCTTTCACCTCCCCAGTTCACAATCAGCTCAAGCCTACGCTAAGTTTGGGCTGAAATCTGCAGTGGCCTTGAAAAGTCCCTCTGCTTACTTGGCTAGGGATGAGCTGGAAATGCACTAATGCTCCAGTGATTCCTATCTGTCAGATTCAAATTAGGATAGCAGAGACAAGTCCTAGGAAACAGAGGCTGTCCCTGGTGATTGAAATAAATGGCCTTCGCTCTACCAGCCAACAATAGCATTGTGGTGGTGGACTGGGCCAGTGGGCCATCCCCTCTCTTGAATTGGGCTGTTTTTTCTTTCTCCCTGCTTTGAGATCCCCGTGGCTGAGAAATGCAGCTAATAACATTTGCCTCCCTTACAAGAGCATTGTCTGGTTTCTCATCCTTTAGTGTTTGCCAATTCCTCTGAGACCCAGGCGTGAAGCAATTATCTGAATAGATGTGTAACAGGTCCCTTTCTATTTCTGTGCTTGTGCAGGAGTGTGATATCAAATACAACCTGCTTCTGCAAGAGCTGGTTGTCTTCTATGTATGTAGGAAACTTGCAGGTAAAAAATGTAGCGTGTAATAGAAGATGGTCCTGTAATAGAAGATGGTAGGTTTATGCCAACCTACCTGATGGATGGATTTCTACTCCGCTTTCCATTCAAAAGAATCCAAAAGTGGCTTACAAACAATAAACAACAATAACACAATAGAACATCACAAGCACAGCATAAATAGTATAATTAACAAACAGTTACAATCCATAAAACACTACTGTATTAACAAACCAACAACTAAAAAGTAAGCTATACATTGCAATTACAGTGTAAATCATATCATATGGTTTGGTTGGCATCCACCCTGTCTCAGGAGACAATGGAAGAGTGTGCCATCATGGGTGAAGTCAAAACGTTGGAGAGTTACAGCACCTGCTGTGGCTGCAGAGACTGAAGCGGGAGAGACATGTTTTGTTGCAGCTGGGGCAGATGAAGGTGTCCAGTTGTGTTGGTGTACCATTGCATTTCTTCTTTTTGTGCTCCTCCCAGGGGTCATTCTTCCTTGGTCACTGCTGTAGAGGCACGACCCAATTGACTCCAGCATAACAAATCAAGAAGGCATCTATGATCTGTAAAACAATATCACCAGAATAGCAACTAAAAAAACTATGCTAAACACTATTATGGTCATACATATGCACTCCTCCCGCCCCCCATCCAATGACTCATAACCTTTCACTCTATTCAGTTTATTAAAATACACATACACATCCATTATACAGGAGAACCCTGATCTAACAGGAATCCCTACAACAGAGCTATACTTTATAAGTTATTAAGCTAAACTTGTGGTCTGTCCTTCTGACAAGTGATGTACAAGGCAGTCGCCAACAACAGCAGAAGTATAGCAAAATGCAACCATCTCCTTGTCCTTGGGATTTTTCAGCTGCTGCCCATGAGGCTTCTGCTGCTGTAGCCAATGGAGATTCATGTTGGGTGGCAACCGCGGGACCTGGAATGTGATGGACTGAGTCCGCACTGGGTGAACTTTGCCGGCAGAACAAGCAGGGTGACTCCAGGACTCTGAAGGCAAATAGGGGATTCCTCTGCCAGTCAGTGAGGCTCAAGTGCTTCCCTTCAGGATAAGGCTGACCAGCAGAGGAGAAGACTCTTGCTCTCCTCTCGCTGGTGGCTGGTAGCTGGTTTCCCTCCTGCTTGTGGCTTATGGTTGTACAGTGGTGCCTCGCAAGACGAAATTAATTCGTTCCGCAAGTTTTTTCTTCTGGCGAGTTTTTCGTCTTGCGATGCACGGTTTCCCATAGGAATGCATTGAAAATCAATTAATGCGTTCCTATGGAAACCGCCTTCAGACCAGGTCCGGGGACAGTCTGTCCCCCGACCTCTTCTGAAGGCTGGGGGGGGGGACAAGGGCTTTTCTTCCCACCCCCAGCATTTTAAAAAAACCCCGGGACAGCGGAGGACTTCTCCGCTGTCCGGGGCAATCTTAAAATGCTGGCGGGCGGCATTTTAAAATCGCCCGGGACAGCGGAGGACTTAGGAGGCAGCTCTCCTAAGAGTGGAAGTAGGATTACCTTCTGTGTCTGCCAGGGCCCACTTAAGATTCCTGCGTTTCTTCACCAACCTCACAGATGCCCCGAACACCTTACTGGCTAAACAAGCCTTTGTATCATTACAAAATAATACTACTTGGCGTAAGAATCTACTAGACATTCTATCCATATACAACCTACCTGAGTTTAATACTCTCAAATTGTGGAGCCCTGATAAAGTTCGGGAATGGATCTTTGAAAAAGACGCCTTTATGGACTCCACAAAGATAAAAAACTCTGGGTTTTCCTACTGGTTTCCCCGAGTAAAAGCAGTCAAAATCTGTGCCAACTACTTGGTGGAGATCACTGATCCCACCCTTCGGAGAGCTTTCACTATGGCACGGTTTCAAACATTGCCAACTGCATATATGACCGGTAGATACACAAAACCCCAGTAGAACATCGTTTATGTCCTTGCCATATGAAAACTAAAGAGGATCTTATACATTACCTCCTCTATTGCCCCATCTACTCGGGCTTTAAAGACGCATTGCTGCAAATTATACCCAACTCTATAACCAATCCTGAAGATAGAGTAAAATTCTTGTTAGTTGATGCAAACCCACGCATTACCCATGTGGTAGCGGTTTTTGTGATGAAGGCCATGAAAGCCAGGGAAAGATTTATGGATGACAATGTAAAGACCCCTTCATCGTCTGTTTAACTCGTTGCTTGTTTTCCCTCTCTTTCTATTTTGTGGGATGAAGGTTTTGTTGGCATAGTATGTAATGAATTTTAATATTTTTAACTATTGTTGTGTTGATGTTTGTGCACAGGCATGGTCCTCACAATAAACGGATTTGTTGTTGTTGTTGAAATACACATATAGTAGTAGTACCAGTAGTAGCAATTGTTGTTGTTTATACCCCACTCATCTGGCTGGGTTTCCCCAGCCACTCTGGGTGGCTTCCAACAAATTAAAACACATCTGACCTGACTGGTTTGTACAATAGTACCTGAATAGTACCATCTGACCTCACTGTTTTGTAAAATGATGTGTGCAAATGGATTGAGCATTTGCTACTGATGCTGCATTTTGTCCATGGGATCCAGCTTCTTGCCCACCACAAACTGTGAAACCTGATTCACAGGGTGCTGCTCCCTCTCCCTCTTCCACACACGAGTAGACCCAGGCTCTGCCCCCTAACCTGTCAGGCATCATCCCTGCACTCCCAGGCTTTGCCCCCATCACAGGTGCCAGGCCTTAGGAAGCCTTCAGAAACTCTAGTGCAGTCTTTGCCAGCCTGATGCAGCCTTCCAGGCACCAACAGCACTGCTAGCTTAGTCTGATGGGAGAGGTGGTCCAAAACATGTATATCAGCTTGGCAAAGACCACGCTAGTGGGTTGGGTGTAGCAGATAGAATCAAGTTCCTTGCAAAAGGGCAGGGGGAAATGCAGCCTATCACACGGCGCAGCAGAGCAGCCTCCAACTCTGCTCAACCTGGCGAGCATGCCTAACTTGAAAACTTTTATAAGGGTCAACAATACCACATGACCTGCTCAGGCCTATCATTGTTCAATATACTTCCTTGCTAGTCTGGCTGATTTGTCTGTACTTCCCTGGTGGTGAAATACAAGGTATATTTCTGCATCTTAGATCCCAGGGTCACGTTCAGAAGAGAACATCTAACCCACATTTGTGGTGACCCTGGTTTAATAGCCAAAAATAACACATTTCTTGCAACCTGATAGCTCTCCAGTTCCCAAATTTGACAGTGGGGTATCCTCAGTTCATATATTAACACGCCATACACCCCACTGACAATGGACAAGTGTCGAGGAGTAAATTCAGACATGAAAAGGTGCCATTTGCACTTCCAATGTGTGGAAGGAAAGGTTGGCAGTTTTGAACATTCTTTCAGCTGTTAGTAGACTTTTTTTTTTTTTAAAAAAAGAACAACCTCCTCTCCCAAAATATAAAGTTTGTTCCCCCCTTTGAATGAGAAGATTTAATCTCTTCCCTTTCTCTTTGCTCTCTCTCTAGACGGCTGTGGAGTGTTGACTTGATAAAGAGGCTGCTTGCTTTGGGGAACTGAATCAAGGAACGAGTCACAGAGGTGAACATCAAACAGCCTGTTTCAGCAGGTACTGGGCCTTCTTGATTCTCCCCACCCCTTTCCTCCCATCATTCAGTGTGTAGCGACTGGGAGAAGCTCAAAGCCCACACAGAAGGGAATTCCATTCTCCACACAATCCCTGCCGCCTTTCATTAAACCTCCAGGAGGATTCCATCTTTTTAATGGCGGGGCTCTTGTCCCCTTTAGGTTCTTGGCTCCCAGTCTGTTGTGGAGCCCCCCTGCACGTGGGCTCCATCTCCTTTCCTCGGTGTTGCAGTTAGCTAAAGCGTGTGCAGCTTGAGACCCACCAAATTCAGCTCGCCAACCAAACGTAGGGCAAGCATCTCTAAAGGCTGCAGTGTGTGACGTGTGGGTTGCATTTAGTTCAAAGGGTCACAAGTTGTGCAGGGCTATTTTTATATACCCAGTGTGCTTCTCCTTTCCCACCAAACCAGTATAAAGAAGAGCTGGTCATGCAGAGAATGGGAAGGAATGGAGTTAAAGGTGAGCATGCATTAGATCCCAGCTTCACGCCCTGCCTCTTTCAGATGCCAGGGAACAATTGGGTCCGAATACCAAGCCGCAGCGTCTACTTCGCTGCTCATCTCCTCACCCAAGGGCATGGGCAGGCAGGTGAGCAAGCAAGCAGAGGCAGTCCAGAGGGGTAGTGGGACCCCCCTCCCAGGGCTCTGGGGCCCCAGCTGCTGCCCACAAGTGCCACCCCCTAATGCCAGTGTTGGATTTCACAAGGCATAAGCGCAGAATAGAAGGCCTAACATGGCTGACATGAGGAAGCTACAGCGCTAACCATGTTGTTTTTAATAAGGTACCTAAGGACGTGGGTTATTACGTGACTGGCAATAAAAGCATATTACTGTGCTCACTCATGCCGGGGAACGCATGCTCTACTCCTGCATTATGTGATCTCTGATGGGCTGGCACAAATCATTTTTTGAATTATTTACTAACCTAACTGAACATTTCCAGGGCTTCAAAAGCCTATCATAAAACACAGCCATGTCCCTACAGTACTCACCATAACTCTTTGCCTGGTGGAAGGAGACACAAACTTGGGCTTCCTTTTAATTTCAGAGGTTTCCAGATGTTCTATATTTCTTTTTCTCCTTTGTGAGGTGCCTGCTGTGGGTATGATAAACAGCTGAGCCTGTGCAAAACTCTTCTAAGAATGAGTTATTTTGTTGGTATGCTTTCCTCTTTTAAACATTCCCTCCTCCCCTTGCTTTATGGTCTCCAGAGAAACTTTGGTTTAATTTATCACATAAAGAGGTTTCCAAGGAGTAGAGACATTTGTGCAGGTATGTTAGAGAACCGACCGTGTTCATAGGGCAAAAGGTGTATTTGTTCCAGGCTGTAGCTTTGCGTGTGTGAGACATGTGCATGGTTCCACCTGGCATCCACAATTTTAGTCCTGCTTGCATTCTAAGCCAGATAGAAATTTGATTTGGGGGCATCAGCAACAAGTGAAGTAAGGTGGCAAAGTGCTGAAGAGCTATGGGGTGGCTATGCTTTCTCTGTGGGCAGTTAGTGGTGCTGAGATGGTTTGAGGGCCATGTCTAAGAGTACGAGCTGTCGAATCTCATCTCAACCATAGACTCAGGAGATAGGCACTATCCTCTCAACTTCCATTCCCCTTTTCCGTTGCAATACGTAGCTAATTTTATTCTGCTTTCCAGGGCTGACCGAGATAAGAAGTATTTTGAAACTTCAAATATGTGATATAAATGGTAATTGTGTTGTTATTCAAACACCCCAAGCCACCAATATTCATGTATAATTCTCTTAACTCTGGGAGGGGGAAATGTCATTTATGTAGATCAAAGTATAGCCTACGTTAATTTTCCTCAGTTAGGCTAGTTATCTTTAGGAGTGCATCAGAGTTCCACCCTCACCAGAATCTGGGGCAGAACCACACAACTTTTGACATAGGTGAAAACATTCTCCATGTGGAAGCCCTGCTTTACTACAGGACCTAGGTCCACCCTGGAAATATACAGAGACTTCCAGTAAAGAAAGGGAGATGTTGTGTCTGAGATACATTGGGGCATTTGAGGTGGGCATCTAGTTGCGGCTTCCCCAACCCACCACCAGCTTGCATGAGACTCTCAGTTTCACATCCTGAACTGCTCCAATCCAAAAAAGGGGAGGGTGTTTGTTTTTTAACTATCCTTGCTGTATCAAGGCCATCCTAGATAGCCAGTGTGGTGTAGTGGTTAAGAGTGGTAGATTCGTAATCTGGGGAACTGGGTTCGCTTCCCCGCTCCTCCACATGCAGCTGCTGGCTGACCTTGGCTAGTCACACTTCTCTGAAGTCTCTCAGCCCCACTCACCTCACAGAGTGTTTGTTGTGGGGGAGGAAGGGAAAGGAGAATGTTAGCTGCTTTGAGACTCCTTCTGGTAGTGATAAAGTGGGATATCAAATCCAAACAACAACTACTACTACTACTATTCTTCTTCTTCTTCTTCTTCTTCTTCTTCTTCTTCTTCTTCTTCTTCTTCTTCTTCTTCTTCTTCTTCCTTGGAAAATCCACACCCCAAGATATGGTGACTATGATGCAGTAAGGAATCAGTAAACACTACCACCCTCTAGCTGTGGAGTAAATTGCAGGAGCCATCCATGGTTAAAACGCCACGTAGCAGAGGCAGTTGGTTCTGCCCAGCCTTAATTACTCTGAAGGTCTGTGAAATCTGGGGCTTATTGGTAGGAGATTAAGGCTGCGCCTGTTATTGCTTCTGCTTCTCTGCCTTTCCTTTCTCTGCTGGCTATGTGTGCCAGTGTGATGTAGTGGTTAGGAGCGGTAGCTTTGTAATCTGGTGAACCGGGTTTGCTTCCCCGCTCCTCCACATGCAGCTGCTGGGTGACCTTGGGCCAGTCACACTTCTCTGAAGTCTCTCAGCCCCACTCACCTCACAGAGTGTTTGTTGTGGGGGAGGAAGGGAAAGGAGAATGTTAGCCGCTTTGAGACTCCTTCGGGTAGTGATAAAGCAGGATATCAAATCCAAACTCTTCTTCTTCTTCTATTGGCACTTTCCACCCCTTTCTTGTTACCGCTATGCTCCTGGGAGTTCTTGCTGCCTGGTACTGCCTGCTTCAAACTGTGCAGAGTGGACTAATGTCTGGAGACAGTCATGAGAGCAAAAAACCCTGAGACTGAATCCTGAAAAAAGAGAGGTGCTGTTGGTAGGGAGTTCATGTGAATGGGAATTACAAAGCTGACCTGTTCTGCATGGGGAACCTATGAACTGCGGACTATGACTTGGGAGACAACGGTTCCTGCTTGGCAGGGGGTTGGACTCGATGGCCCTTGTGGTCTCTTCCAACTCTATGATTCTATGGTTCAAATCCCCAGGCACTGGTGACCTTGGGCCAATCACTGCCTCTCAACCTAACCTGTCTCACAGGGTTACTGTTGCAAGATAACTTGAGGAGGGGAAAACCACATATCCCACCTTGAGCTCCAGAGGGGAGGCTGGAAAGTGATATATAAAAGGGAATTAATTAAGTAATCGGGGGTACTTAAATAATTTATATTGATCCAGTGCTGTTGCTAGAATCTTAAGTGGCTTCAGTGGCAGGGAATTCCTATGTCCAGCTCTGGCTGCTTTGTCAGCTATGGCTGTCCCTGGATTTGGATAGCCTTACTTCAGCCATCTATGTTCTGGTAAGTCTTACAGCTGGACTGCAATGAACTGTGTGGAGCTACTCTTCAAGGTGGTTAGTGCAGAATGCAGCTACAAGGCTACAGACCAGTGCAACAGATTGGAAATATTTTCATCTTGTAAGCTGCCCTGAGATCTTGTGATAAATCTAAGGAATAGAATAAATGAAGTACATTTCACTGATACTGAAAACATAGGATACTGGCTGCAGTGAGCTGCTGAGCTCCATTCGAGGTGTTGGTCCTGATGTATAAAGCTCTGAAAGGCCTGAGGCCAAAATGCTTAATGTAGGTCCCTTCTATAGAGCTACAGATAATGCCCTGATGATCTCTGGGCATATAGCGGTACCTCGGGTTAAGTACTTAATTCGTTCCAGAGGTCCGTACTTAACCTGAAACTGTTTTAACCTGAAGCACCACTTTAGCTAATGGGGCCTCCCACTGCTGCCATGCCGCCGGAGCACAATTTCTGTTCTCATCCTGAAGCAAAGTTCTTAACCCGAGGTACTATTTCTGGGTTAGCGGAGTCTGTAACCCGAAGCGTCTGTAACCTGAAATGTCTGTAACCCGAGGTACCACTGTAATCCGAAGGCGCAAAGCTTGGGCTTTGCGATGCTGAAGGTAATTCTGCATCTTTTAATTTATTTTTTGTTTGCTGCATTACAAAAGAAATTGGTTGAAAAGTTTTTGGCAGATAAGTTTAAATGTGTGGTTTTATTGTTGTTGTTGTTGTTGTAATTGGTTATTTGACCATGTTGAAAACCACCCTGGGCTCCTGTGGGAGGAAGTGTGGTCAAGCAACGCCACCAATCAATCAAAATAAAGTTCCTCGTTTGTTTGAGATTGACAAATACTCATCCTAGCCTCAGGGCATCCTGCTAATGCAGGTGGTGCAGACCATGTGCGAGAGGGAATCTGGCAGTTTTTTTGCACAAAGGGACCCAACTGAGCTCAGCACACAAGGTACATGTGGTAAAAAGAAGTGATTTCCTCCTCTTACATATGACAGGAGACATGGTACATATGCACAGCATGGCCACATGCTTGTGTAAAGCAGCACCGTATGGTCATGTATAATGAATGGCACTTCCAAACACATTCACTTCAGACTATATGCATGATTATCCTCAGTTTCTAAATGGAAAAGCAATCAATTACAAGCGACAGGTTTTGAGCTGCTTGCCAAAATTTCAGGGGGAAATAATTATACTATAAAAAGGACCATTATTATTATTATTATTATTATTATTATTATTATTATTATTATCATTATCTCAGTTATATGCATGTCTTCTAGGACTGCACTATTTAATCACTTAATCTGTTGTACTATTTGACTAAAAACCTTTTGATCAATTGAAAAGGTGTCCCAATTCATAAAGGTAAATATTTCTAAGATGGTTGGTGGGGTGGAGTGAGGTGTGGGAAGCCAGGAAGACTCTTACTTGGTAGCATTCACTTTCTTGTGGCAACTTTGCTAAAAGAAGAAGGCAGGAGAAAAAACTGAGGCTTTAGGAGAATATTAAGGTAAAGGTAAAGGGACCCCTGACCATTAGGTCCAGTCGCGGACGACTCTGGGGTTGCGGCGCTCATCTCGCTTTACTGGCCGAGGGAGCCAACATACAGCTTCCCGGTCATGTGGCCAGCATGACTAAGCCACTTCTGGCGAACCAGAGCAGTGCATGGAAACACCGTTTACCTTCCCGCCGGAGCGGTACCTATTTATCTACTTGCACTTTGACATGCTTTTGAACTGCTAGGTTGGCAGGAGGAGAATATTGCATCCTGCCAAACAGCTGACATATGTGGAAGGATTTCATGTTGCACTCTGAGAACAACAATAGCTGGCAAAAGGGCACCTCTCTAAAGAGTTTGCAGTTTTGAATTAGAGTTGCAGCCAAGTACATTTCCGATATTGGAAGAATAAATCCTGCTATTGGAATAAATTGCAGAAATGAAGGACACCAAACTGTTATTTCTGTCTGTGAACTCCTGGTGCTGAATGTTTAGGACAGGGCCTTACTAATTTGTTTAGTAGTTAATCAATGGTTTCTCCCTGGGCTTTTCATACTATACTGGTGACAGAGGCAGGAGATACCAGTAATCCGCCACAAAGTGTGGCAAAAGAATAATGCCAGTGGAGGAGGATGATTTTGAATAAAGGGTGGAACATGGGCCAAATCTCACTGACTCCATAGCATCATGGCATTAATGTACTCGGCACATGATTCCTGATTAGTAGGATCTCATTCCGTGATCTAAAGGAACAGTAGATGAGAAAGATAATAGCTTGTGGGGAGGTATTGTTGAGGTTATGGAGTAGATCTGAGAGGACCTTGGGCAATGCTGAGGAAGGTCTGAAGTGAATATGGCTATCGTAGCACTTGGTATTTGTCAGGCATGTTGAAGAATTAAATTGCTAATTACAGTGGTGCCTCGCAAGACGAAATTAATTCGTTCCGCGAGTTTTGTCGTCTTGCGATTTTTTTCGTCTTGCGAAGCACGGTGTCGGGAAAGTTTTGGAAAAGCTTCAAAAATCACCAAAGTCTTTAAAAACCTCAAAAAAGGCTACCACACCGCGTTCTATGAGTTGCTCCTCGAAGTCAAGTCGCAACTGTATTAACGGTGTTAAGAAAAAGGAAACAAACTTGCAAGACGTTTCCGTCTTGCGAAGCAAGCCCATAGGGAAAATCGTCTTGTGAAGCACCTCAAAAAACAAAAAACCCTTTCGTCTAGCGAGTTTTTTGTCTTGCGAGGCATTCATCTTGCGAGGTACCACTGTAATAGCACAATGAGTGTTGGAGGTGTTTTCCATTGCAACTGGAGAAAATTATAACATGGATACCAAATGGGGGGAAATAGCATTGTCGTGCAGGAGCAGCTGGCTGTAAGAGGGATAATGAGGGAACGGAATGGCAATACGGCTGAGAACCATTGATGATTAAACTAATGGCATTGAAACACAGAGGTGGCGGGAGCTTCATGTTCGGCTGGAAGAGAAGTTGGTAGAAATGGGACACAGATTATTATGAAAAAGCTGCTGTACAATTTGCAATGGAGATAACAGAGATGATAATGGAAATAATTGTGACCAGAACAGAGGTGAACATAATGTTGGATTATGGTAAATATGATAACAACAAAGGTGAAGGTATTATCAATATGGAAGGAGCACCAAGAGGGGGGCATATGAAATAAATAGTGTGCCTGTCATATTCAATTCTGATTCCCATGCACCAAGTGCAACTTGCAAAACAGCAGCGGACGAAAACAACTCCGACAATGAATGACAATAATTTTGAAATGGGAAAATAATTGCAAATATGAAACTATCCTACAGGTATGGATAAAATGAAGAAGATGCCTGAGTTGCAATGGGGTGACCAGAGAGATGAGCATTATTATTATTATTATTATTATTATTATTATTATTATGAAGATATGGATTTGCAAGAAAGAGAGAGATAGGGAAATGGTAATGGATATAATTAGGGCTTTAACAGAGTAGTGATAAAGATAATGGGACTGTAATTGTGGTGAGGTGATGATTGCAAACGAGGAGGTGAGGATAACAACTGCACAGGAGATGATAAGGAAGATAATGGATTGTAAGGCAGTTGTTGTTAAAGGTAATGGAGCTGGGATGGAGAAAGGTAATGGAATTATAATGAGGTGATGACGGCCACGTTAGGAAAAACAGTTATTCTAATAAAAGGGTTGAGAGCCCCATAATACAATGAGGCACCAGAATTATAATACTTGCCATTGCAGCTGCTGGTAGAGACAACCACAGGGGCAACAATGATTACGTTTGTTGTTCTTGCAATGGCGTCATTTCAAGAAAACAGGAGGTCGCAGTCTTGCCCTTGATTGCTTCAAGGGCAACAGGTGCTGGCAGATGTTATAACCCAGCATTTCCAAAACTTCTGAAAGCCAAAGGCACAGTTTTTCCTTCTGAATCAAAACTGGAGTCATGTTTCACTCCCAAAAGGTGTTGTTTTAAAGTGAACATAGAGAAAGAGGTACTCACAGTCAGATGAACACATCTCCTGTCTTTTTGCAGAAGTTGCCTATTTGACCACACCTCCTGGTTGGCACAAGCAAGCCCAGAACAGTGACTTGTCACTAGTGCCAGCCTCCTGTGGAGGGGGCAGATTCTTCTGCCTATCTCTGCATCAAGAGTGACAGAATAATCTAATCACGCGGCAAAATAATCCCTCCCACCCCAGAAGTGGCTAATTAGAAAGGCGACAAGGACAGAACAATAAATCATGCATAGATGCAATGGGCAGCCTCCTCAATTGGGGGAGGACAGAATTTAATTACTCATGGAAAGCTATTAGTTCTCCTGTGACATGCAGTTCGGCAATTGCTGTACTAAGGGGAAATATAATCCTCTGGTAGATTGCAAGCAAGTGTGTTTCAGGAGCAATCAATCCATGGAGGGACAATAAGACATCTGGGGCACCACAAGAGGAGAGAACCCAGAACTAACAGCGTCAGGAACATCAGGTGCCTGGGAGCACCATGTGAGGAAGGAAAGAAGTTTTCCTTCCTTCCTACTTTATATGAGAAGACCTCATTTTACACAGCATCCCACCTCACACAGCAGCCAGCCACATACCATAGAGACCCTGATTCAGAGAGCACTGAATGAGGTAGCTATGTTGATGCAGGTCAGGAACTCTCTCGTTTCTGGTTGATCCCTAAATGTAAGTTTTTCTGGCGAGTGTGCCAGAAGGGGTGGGGTCTGCCTAATGCCTGTGCCAAATCTCATACATCTGGAGTCAATAAAGTTGTGGCCTGACTTCACCCAAAATGATAGTGTCTTGCCTCGTATTCTTGGCATTGGGAGGTCCAAAGCGTAGGATCTTTGGCAACAGGAGAGCAACAGGAAGAGGACCCTCAGTCCTTCATGTCATAATATGAGACCCAAGATGCAAGGGATTTTGACTGTGGGGCCGGGTGAGAAATGGCACCTCAAAGCTCTCCAGGAGCTTTTCACTCAGAGCTTTTCACACATTCGCTTAGCCTCTTGCATTTTCAAGCAAAGCAGTTGTGAATAACTTTCATTGCATGAATCCTCAGACCATAGCAGATTTTCAAGAAGGCAGATCCACATGTATGGTTCACTATCATCAGGTCAAGGTCCACGAGTTGGTTCCGTCTCAAATGATTATTGATGAATGGAGTTCTTGCTAGGTGAATCCAAACTTTTGGATTACAGTAACTGAATGTCTAACATAATATTTAATTTGCACAAAGCTATTCTCTTTTGGCCCCTTCATGGATCACTGCATTGCCGTGGCGAAGGGGCTTGAAGAACTCAGAGAAGCTATGAACTACGCCGAGCAGGGCACACAAGATGAACAGGTCATAGTGGAGAGTTTTGACCAAACGTGATCCACCTGGAGGAGGAACCGGCAAGCCACTCCAGTATCCTTGCCAAGAAAACTCCATGGACAAAGACAACAGGCATATAAAAGTTATGACGCTGGAAGATGAGCCCCTCAGGTCGGAAGGCGTCCAACATGCTACTGGGGAAGAGCGGAGGGCAAGTACAAGTAGATCCAGAGCTGATGAAGCGGCTGGGCCAAAGCCGAAAGGACGCTCAGTTGCGGATATGCCTGGAAGCGAAAGGAAAGTCCAATGCTGTAAAGAAAAATATTGCATAGGAACCTGGAATGTAAGAACCATGAACCTGGGTACGAGATGGTTGGATAGTGTTTTCGAGGTTACCAGCATGAGTTTGACCAAACTGCGGGAGGTAGTGGAGGACAGAGGTGCCTGGCGTGCTCTGGTCCATGGGGTCACGAAGAGTCGGACACGACTAAACGACTAAACAACAACAAATTCTCTTTTGGGCAAAGGCGGACCTGAGGTGGGGGAGGCTGGTCTTTGGTAGACTTGCCTGTCAACAATTGAATTGTTCCGAATATGGGCAGCCAACCTGCACAGGCACACTTAGAGGTGTGGCATGAGGAGAGAGTGTGGTGGGCCTGATTGTGGAAGAGAGTCAGGCCACATGGTAGTCTGCACTTGAGGCCTGGTCACCACTTGCAGCAAGAAGACTTGGCAGAATGGTGAGGCCATGTTAGAGTGGATTCTGCAACTTTAGATCATGTGGTGTGTGGGTACCACTTTCCATGTGAAGGACTCATTGCAACTACACTACTAGTGCAGACAGTTCTAGCCTAGCACATGGCCCACTATGCTGCTTTTCTACTTGTTGGGGGGAGGAGAGGGGCTGATGTTGGAGATAATTGAAAACTGTGGTTGCAATCTGAAGAGGTGCAGCACATTATGCAACCTCAGATCAGGCCTAAGCTCTGGCCTGCTCCCCAACTCAGTGGACCATAATATGTGCAATAGGGTGCAATTTTGTGGCACTATATTGTGCTTCTAATTTGACACACTGGCTAAAATGGAGGCCACCACTGTCTTAGAAATTCCATTAAAAGTCAGTTGCAAGGGTGTATAAGGAGGTTTCATACATAAATATATAAGTGCACTGAGGCAATAGCCCTCCTTTGTGCAGCAGCAGAAGGGTCTGTGGCCCAGACTGTGTGTTTTCATGCTAACAGACATTTAGTTGAGGATTTAAACTTATCGGGCATCTGTACTTCTCTCTGAGTCATCTAGGAGCCAGTACATTAATGTGCAACGGTTATGGTGCTGGACTCACATAGTTGGGAAGGTGGGGGTGTTCTTTTAAATGCTTGGGCAGCTGTGAAATAAAGAAGGAAAGATAAGTGCTAACAAAATCATGAGAATACAGAAAAATTGGAAAGAGAAAAATACAATAGATTCTTGCTCTTCAATCCGAGATAAGCAAGAAATGCTTTTCTATAACTGAAAGACTAGTTTTGGTCATTTTGGTCAAAGATAAGACTTCTTATGTTTATCTTTTTTTCCTTTTAAAGCAGTTTTGCAACAAAGATGTAAACCGAAAATAACGTATAACACTTCTAGAAGACAAAGCAATTTTCACAACAATGGACAGTAACAAGTTTGCTACAGTGAAGGTGATGGAGGCCAGAGCAAATGCTATCAACACACTGCCCCCACCCCACAAAAAGAACCATTATTGCACAGCAGGGAAAGCCTTTCCAGCTGCAGAAGGCATGGGAAGACAGCTTTTGAGCAAACAGATTTCAGACCCCTTGGAGAGTGCCTACCCATCTCTTTGCATCCTCAAGCATAATTGGTGGTCTCCAGACACTTTCCCACACATTGGCACCACCTGCTGAATGGGTCTAGACTCAGAGCAAGAGGCCTCTGAGAGAACTGGTGTAGAGGATACATTCCACCAGCAGTTGCTTTGAATGAAAGGTCCAGTGTCCTGGAGATCTGTCTCCCTGCTGTCCCATCCAGGGTTTGGCAAGAGTGAGGAACCTCAAATCCCTCCCTGGCCATGTTCCACACACAGAGAGGTTTTTTGAATCGCTGGAATGTCTCCTTGAACATTGCCTCTTGCCTAGATGAAGTATAGAGTGCTCTCTCTCTCTCTCTCTCTCTCTCTCTCTCTCTCTCTCTCTCTCTCTGTGGTGTGTGTGTGTGTAGAAACTACCCTACCACACAAAGGTGAATTTTACTTTTGTTCCTCTGCTCACTTTTGGCTCTGGCTCTGACTATCGCTGCCATGTGGCCAGTGGGAGGTCCCCAGAAGGCAATATGTCCCTCAGACTGAAAAACTTTCCCCATCCCTAGCCTATGGGCTATAGCATACTTTCTCGGTTGCTTAACTAACCATTAAGCAACATATTTGAGTATCTGAACACCTCCTACTATCCACACCCAGAATGCATAACCCAGACCTCCCTGCCGCCTCCCAGTAAGCAGCAGCAGGGCCAGTGCCAGGAAGCTAGTGATGTGGCAGAAGATCTAGAAACAGGCATTGACTTCTGGAGTTAAAATTTTTTTAAAAAAAAATATATATCTTTGGTCTACTGTAAAAGCTAGTAGTCTGGGTAGCAGTTGGCAGCACAGAACATTCAAGGTCAGCTCTGTAGGAGACAATAAGAACTGTGTCTGGAGGGGGGAGAAATTAAGAAGACTCCTTCCCTCCCCCCCCCCCCGCAACTCTGAGAAAGAGGAAAAGAAAATGTGTGACTAAACATCACAGGTGCTGCTTAAAGCCCTTGACCCACCAGAATCTACACTGCCTTTGAGGAGCAAGCTGAGAGATTCTCAGTGTCAATCGCTTAGAAGCCAATAGCACAATGATGACTCAGTTTAGAGATCTAAGTTCTAGAACAGACAGATTTGTGAATGACTTGATTTTTTTTTTTTTAAGTGGGAAGTACTACTGTCAAGAGAAGAACATTATTTTCTGCAAAGTAGCTTCTTTGGGCTCTCTCGTCTACCTTACAGGGTTCAATATAAACAGGATAGATCACTAAGGGTGTCACTCTAAAATCCTAGGAGGGCAGGTGGAATTCAACTGTGATAAACATACACCAAAGCTAGTTCCTTCCATTGTCAATGTACACGTTGATTGTACTCACTCGCTGGATCATCACCTTGTCGTAGTGAGTGGGCTTGCACGTTCCTATGACCCTTGTGAGCGAAGCCGTCAGGAAGCTTGTACTCGCAGCAGGGTCACCCAAGGAGGTAAGGTCAAAGGGAAGGAGCTAGACAAAGAATGATCCAAGAAGTTCTCAACTGCAGAACAGGTGGATGATAACAAGTGGTATGTTACAACGGCTGTGAAGGCAGATGAAGGCTGCAGCAGATGGGATCTACCGGTTCGTCGTGACTACTTCATGCCATCGGAACAGAGCCCTGCTGCGAAGACTGTGCGTTGGTCAGTGTGCACTGATCTACACACATAAAACAAATTCACGCACAGGCGTCTTCCAAAAACCCAACCGAAACCCCAAAAGTCCCATGACGATCGGCAAATGGTAACGGGGGCAGGATCATGAAATCTAGAAGCCCCAAGTCATGAACCAGCACATGGGCCGTGGATACAGATTCAGTCGTTCTGACTCAAGAAACTTATGGACTCATTGTTAAAACTGTGTTTATGGAAGACAATCTCGGCTACTAGTGATCGCAGAAGAAGAAGAAGAAGAAGAAGAAGAAGAAGAAGAAGAAGAAGAAGAAGAAGAAGAAGAAGAAGAAGACACATTGATTGTTGACTTGTAAAATGT